CCCCAAAACCCCAAAACCCCAAAACCCCAAAACCCCAGACCAGTTTAAATTAATTGAAAATTCTTACTGATCGAACCGTTGAATTCATTTGCTCCAGCAGTAAAGTCCTACCTTTGAGCTTTGTCAATGCTTTCGCTGTCCAAAAAGCTGGAAACACTTGAATTGAAGTCGGGCTCTGAGGCTTCAGATGAGCTCGGAGTTCCAGCTTCTTGCAAACCAAGAGGCTTAGACTTTGCCAACGAAACTATAGGCTTTTTAGCGGCATGCTCCTTCTCGTCTGAATATCCAGGTATATAATATTTAGTACCGAGTATTTCCCTTTCCTTTTTCGTCTGATTCCTGATTTTTAGGTGCATCCCCAGAATTTGAATTAACTCTCAAGTTCTTGAAGATGAAGTTCTAGCTCTTTTCACTGAAGAAAACAGAACTCTAAGAGAATGCGCTCTCTCTAGATGCCAAATCTGCCTCACTTTCCTTGAAAATTTAAGCGATAAATCACTATAACCGTTTATCAAAAAAACTAACCTTAACTTCTTTAAGTATTTTGAACGAGTTTTCTCAGTCGAGTGTTGTAAGCGATATTGTGCGACAAGCATTCTGCCTGCTCTTTCCTTCAGCTTTTCTTTCTTCCGAAGTGAATCCAGCATAATATAAGCTGAAAGTTCGGCATTTCGGAGCAAAAACCCGGTTTGGAACGATAAAATGACAAGTGACTCCAGTGCCACTCCTACAAAAGCTGATCAGTAACCTAAAAATCTGCCAAGGATAGTTTTAGGGTAGAAGTCACCATAACCGACAGTAGTCATTGTGATGAAGCTGCACCAGACCGAATTTTGGAAGGTGAAATATGGGCGGCCGATATTTCCATCGTTTGCTTCGTTCTCAATATGGTAAAACATGTAGCCAAAAACTATTGTATAAAAAGCATAGTTGGCGTAACAAAAGACAAATGGATTTTTCTTAAATACAGCTCTGATTCAGTATCTATACCCGTTCCTGACGCCATAAATTGGGCAGACCCTGTTTGCCCGATCTGTCATAAATTCTGTAGATATTAAATATCACCTTTTAGCATGGTATATCCTAATGATGACCATGAGCAGCATTAACATAGTGTTCAGTTGGAGCCTAACAGTCTCCCCGTCCACATAATAATAGTCTTCATATTGCACTTTGTAGAAAAATGGCATCGGAGATATAAAATTAAGAGCTATTTCCAGGATCATAATTTTCCATGTCTTCGTATTAATCAGATCGTCATGAATCCCAATTAACCCTAAAGTTTTGCGCCACCAAATCCAACACTTATTGGTAATCACAATATTAATGGCTAGCGCAATAGTTGTTAGCAAGTGACAGCCAAGAATTAATAGTCTATAGTCTGAGTGTTCGTCTTGCCCATATTTTAGCAAGCACTCATGCTCAACAACGCAGAACCCGATACTGATGAGAGCAAGGACACCACTTCAGTATATAGCGAAATTGTACCGCGAAAGAGCCTTACCTGTGTGCATCGGATGGCCAGCTCCAGGCAAGACATGCTCCCTCCGAATTTCCTCCTGAATTTCTTGAAACACAGTAGATTTATTTAATTAACGGGATATCGCTACTATTTTTCGAATTGGTATCATTAGTTGCTTTTTGGTTATTATCAAATAAACCTGTCTTCTTATGAAAAAGCCTGTTATCCCCTTCGAACAACAGCTCGGACATTTCGCTCATATTTTAATAATCCTATCTCTCTATAAAAAATATCGTATAAGGGGTTTTGGGGTTTTGGGGTTTTGGGGTTTTGGGGTTTTGGGGTTTTGGGG